GTTATCTTTGCTAATTATTTTTATTATTATTTATTGTTTTTGCGAAAAACCAAAAAAATTAGTAGTTTTTTTTATATTTTTGTTTTTTGTTTGCCTTATTTCTAAATAGGTTGAATGCTCTCAATTGGATCTCAATTGTGAGTTTATGAAATCTTTCTTTTGAGATTGTGGTTTGAAGATTTTTGAAACGGATACTCCTTGTATTGTGGTGCCAAAGATATCCATGAAGGTTATCAAAGAAAGAGCGGGTGCATAAAATATTTGCTACATAGATTAAAAAATAGAGAGGGTGTATGGGTGTGGGATGAGGGAGAGTAGAGATAGAGGGAGGCAAAAAGTTAAGATAAATGAATAAAAGGGTGTGAGACAAATTGCATCTTCAAAAGTTATTTTCCTATGTGCTGAATTCCATGTCTCTAAAAGATTGACATTCTCAATTTTAGGAATTAAATATATTTGCTGAATCAGTAGTGCTTGATGATGAAAGAAGGCATTTATAAACATTAGTGCTTGATAATGTGTTCAAGAGCTAAAATCTAATAATGTGTTTAGAACTTTCAATTAGTGCTTGATGTTTTCAGATTGGTGTAATCCATAGACATATATGCGTGATTGGAGGGTTAGCTGATTGCTCAAAGAGAGGTGGTTTTGTTGATTAAGGTTTAGTTTCTTCTATTTTTTTTTTTTTGTTGATTTTTACTTTCTATTTTTCTATTTCTTTGTAATTAGCAAGAGAGAAGTGTAATATGAAGAGTCTGAGACTTAAGCTTAGGAAAGTGAAATGAGTGTTATAACTAACTAATACTACTGAGACTTGAGTGTAATATGTTCATGACTTTGCTAATCATACATTTTATTTAACTAATTGATACATTTTTCTTGCTACATTTTGGGTTTTGATACACTTCAATTTTGCACAATGGGGGTGAGTAGCAATGCACGATTTTTCTTTCCATGCCGTTTCTTTTTAGACATTACCTATCAATAGTTGACATGAGAGATGGTTTGTTAATATTGCAATCACAAAGATTATATTCTTTTTAAATTTTAGCCGAAGTTCAAATGTGACCAACCTCTTCAATTAGAACAAGAAAGATTGATAGCTTGGGTAAGTATAACAGTGATGGTATAAGAAAGGAACAATTTTTCTCTGAAATTATTTTATGAATAAATTTTTCATGTACTATATAAAAGTTGGACAGGAGAAGATTAATCCCAACATTATTTCCACCGTGCCTTTAGATACGGGCATACACTAGTTTATAAATATTTAAGAACAGGAATTGTTTTTTTATTATTATTTAAACAGGTAGTACATCTAAAATTATCATATCTACTAAAAAAAAATTAAAAAAACGTTTATTGATTTATAAGATTATGACTTTTTGAGATTGAAAATAATTTTTTTTTTTAAAAAAATTCTAGTAAGAATTTTCACTACATACTAATGCATGCTGTGTAAAATTATGATATGTTATAACATAAAATGCATGTCATCTTAAGTATAAATATTTCACGGCATATTTTTGCAAGCCGTGAAAGTATATAAATTATTTTTGTATTAAAAAAAATTCTAGATTGTAACTAGAATATCTAGTTTATTGGGAAAAAAAATAAAAATTTCTCATATCTACTAGAAATTTATAAATATTTAAGTACATCTAGAATTTTTTATTATTATTTATAATTAAAATATAATTTTTCTAGAGATTGAGAGGGTTTGGGACAAAAACAGGTATGGATCTAGAATGAGAGAGTGTGGCGTAAGTTTTAAATAATTTTTTTTTTAACTTTTTAAATTCAAATAATTTACATATACTTAGAAGGAAAATATTTTTTAATTTTATAAAAAAATCACTAAATTCAAAAAAATATAAAATTTAATATTTTACGACATGAAATGTATTTTGTCTTAAGTGCAAATATTTTATAACATATTTTTGTATGCCATAAAAATATACATTTTTTTACAGCATACTTTTGCATGTCATAAAAAAAAAAAAAAAACCGGAAAATCAGATTGCATTTTTTTTTTGGTAGAAGTTTTCACGACATTCATTAACATGTCGTGTAAAGTTATAATATTTTATAACATGAAATGTATGTCGTCTTAAGTACAAATATTTTACAACATATTTTTGTAAGTCGTAAAAGCATACATTTTTTACGACATACTTTTGCATGCTATAAATATATGAATCAACGATTTACATGGTATGTATGCTGTTATTGACAAGCATTAACGGCTTGCAAAAAAAAAAAAAATGTCGTAGAATGTACTAATTACGACATGCATTTAATGCATGTCGTAAACATGATGCCGTAAATAGTTAGTTTTGTTGTAGTGTTAGTTTGTGTCTTCTGAGGTATTATTTTTAAGTTCTCGAGTTAGATTATTTGTTAAATTATTTTTATTACTATTAATATGTTCTATTTCAGAAAATTTATTCAGCACTTCCATTGCAAGAGTCTCCCTTGCACTTGCGTTGTAACGTCCCAAAAAAATATAGAAACCTGAACTATCCATTCCACACCTCAAGTATATATAATATTCATTCAACAAGTGGAAGTTTAATTAAATCCCAAAACATTCTATATATATAACAATATTGTTAATATTACAAAATCATATCACATGCATTAATACATTCACTGATTCAAAAACCTGAATTTTTAGCATGTGATCGATAAGTATTAATATTTAAACTATTATAAATTCCTGCCTTACTGGCTACAAGTTTCCAAGATTATACTTGATTGCAACAGAAATGGGTTTTAAGCTTAATGCATAGAAAGCCCTAGGCTTACACAAAACAAAACTCAAAACGAGTATTCAGCTCCAACATCCTCCCGAGCTATCCCCTTGGCAGATGCATACCATCAGCATCTGAAATGTTTTTCCACATAGGCTGAGCTAAAATCCAGTGGAGACAAGTTTAATGTTATGCATGATGTTTAACAAAACCATATAGTGAATGCCTATGAAACTTCATTACATAACATGCATTTCCCCTTTTTGAAACATTGTTATGCCAGAGTTCATTTCACAATTAATATCTTTACTTCAAAATAGAAAACAAGACAATAAATACACACACTAATGATTTCTAGGTATGTGTCTGCAAGTAGGCTATAAAAGCACTACCAAAGTCACTTTACTGGCAACTAATCGGAAGGAAGGTATCCTAACCGCGTGGATTTTTGGACTTTTACCAAGGACACAAAAGCCAACTTAATTAAGCGCTACCACACCCCTAACCAGATTCATCACGGTATTCACTCATTTTTCTCAAAACAATACTCTTCGAATGCATAGGCATGAAACAGTTGAATAAATGAAATGCATGAATGAATTAGTTTCAGTTAACCTATCTCTCATGCAATTTCTACAACAAGCAATGTTATCATCCACTAATAGCCAAAATAGTTATCTCTATTCAATATATTCCAAAATAGACAATATATAAATCAAGAGCAAAACTAGCAATTCCAACTGATAGCCCAAAGTTATAAGTTCACCATGAAGTTCACAACTTCTCAACATTTCAAATGCTCCCTCAACATGGAGCCTTTTTAGGTTTTGATAAAATTCCAAAGGTTTGCCATTTTGAAAGAATCTCTACAAGTTTTCCAAGGCCACACTTCATTTCCAACAACCCAAAAGAGTTCCAAGACAATAATAGGAAAAACCCCTCTTTCATACCTTCCAAATAAGCATAAATCAAAGCCCTAATCTCATAAAGCATTAATTTCTTTTACCGAATAACATATAGCAAAGCTAAATAACATGCAGATCATTAAAAGGGTCCCTACCTCAAAGCAAGCGGAAGAATGGAGCAACAACCGAAAATCAACAGAGTCAAAAACTTGAAATTTACAGATTAAAATGAAACCCTTCACATACTCTACTTTTTTACCTCAAGCACTAGGGGTAGAAAATGGACGAAACTAGATGAAACTAAGGTTTTATAGCTCAGAGACTCGGAAAATGGCGAAAAGAGGTGTGTGGAAGACGATAAGCTCAAAAAAATAGATATTTTCATATTATTACAAATTCTCATATTCCACTAAAATCATATTTGAAAATCAAACACAACCGTAAGAACTGATGTAGTCCACTATATACATAAACCTAATGCTTTTATCTCACATGGTAAGAGATTTTGAGTCCAACAAATATATATATTTTTAAGTGTGGAAAAACTATTATGAATTAGATTTGATTTTGTACACAAATTGAGACATGCTCCCCCACCATTCAACTAGCAACTCTATTTAATTTGATACATGCATGGGGAGCTTTTAAGACTTTTTCTTCTAATTTTTCACCAATGAAACTAAATTATCTCTCAAAAGCATAAAAAGATATTGATGTAGTTCTATTCTTTAGATTTGGCTATCCAAACATGGCTTTACAATGTTTAAGGACGAAATTGACAAAACTAAAACTTTGAATAGCAAATTGGTACGAAATGCAAATTTTAGCCACATTTGAAAAAACAAGTATCATTCCCTTAATAATTTAGATGATAGTTCAAAATTCGATCATTTTGACTCAAATTTGAAACTTCATAAATGAAATTGATATATTAAAAATTAAAGGACTAAGAATATTGTTGCATATGACAAAAGGACAAATACAAATATTTATTTATTTATTTTTCTATTAATGTCTAATGTGAAAAGGGCTACAAGGGGGCAGCCCTCCCCCTTCATTTTATTTATTACTTAAAATAAATAAGAAAGTGTCATTAAAATTAAACAGTCTTGATGGGTACAATTTATGTTGACACAGAGGCTAGTAGGTCATGGAGGCAAAATATCACTATTCAATTGCTCTTATTAACATACAAAAACAGAACAAGCATTTAAACCCCATGCATATTACATTAGACCCAAAATCACTAGAACAACAACTTCCCAAGATGAGTAACCATTTTTTTTGTTTTGTGGAGAGTAGTGACAATAGCTACATGAGGATGGCAAGATTAACTTGAGCTGAGAGAATTTTAATTTTAATTTTCTTTATTAGATGGCAATTTGACTTTGTTATGGTATTCTGTAAGTGCCCATAATGGAAATTTATTCCTGTAGGCTGCATAATGTAACATGCAATTCTTCATGAAAACTCCAGTAATTTCCTGTGTTTGTCACAAAAAAAAAAAGAAAAGAAAAAAGGGAAGAATGTAAATTTATGATAAAAAGTAAAATAATATTGATCGAAGAACTGAAATTAATTTTTGTTTGTCCTCTCTTTTGTGTATTAATCATATTTACGATAGATGGTAAAATTGGTTGTGTCGTAGAGAATTGATGAATACCTCTTGAGGGAAATCTCCATTTTCCATTTGGGAATTGATCAGCAACTTTGCAGCACGATGTAGAGCTCTTGGGTCTCTCTCGGCCTAGTTAGTTACAAAATTTAAAGAACATCACAAATTTTGTTTTGAATATTGTTTGTGTTAATTTGTCGAGCATGTATATGTAGATGAAGTTCTACCTGGCCGGAATGAATTAGACCCATCATGGCCCATGAAGTATGCACCAAATTGGCTCGATTCTCTTCTAGTGGTACATATTTCTGTTGTGAGACAAAGAATATAGAATTAGTTAATTAATTATACATGGAAACAAATGAATTAATAATTAAAAGAAAAAGTTAACTAGCTAGCTAGCTAGTATGAATTGATTTTGGTTAAGGATTCATATTTTGGAAGGAAGTTAAAAAATAAACCTTGAGGGGACTAGCAAGGTAACTCTCTCCCCAACCTCCATTGTCTCGTTGGGACGACAACAAAAATTCAACACCTTTACGGATGGCTACACAATTGTTGTATGTCTTCCCCGCTGCTACCAACCCTCCCAGCGCAAACCATGTCCCATATGTGAAGCAAACCCCCCAATTCCCATACCTACCGCATTCACGTTCACAATTGCATGAGAGAGAAATATAGCAGGTTCAAACAAAACTAAGACGTATTCTAATAATGTGAGATCAATTCTTTTTCATTATATTCTGCTATGTTAATAGTTACATGCTCAATTAAATTAAATAAATTCATATAATTTTTTTTACTATTGCATCTCATGCTTGTGTAGGCCTTTCGCCCAAATATTTCCATTTACAGTAATTATACACACACACACACACACACACACACAGAGTTGGGAACAACATACCATGACCCATCTGGCAATTGGATATCTTCAAGGAAACGAACTGCGTTTTGGATGAAAACTTCAATCTCCATTTTGCGGTGTCTTGGATATAATTTCATGAATAACACAAAAGCCTGGATTGATGCTGCTGTGCATTCTACATACTCGTGTTCAATTACAATATCAGCAAAGGTCTCTGTAGGATTAAGAAGCCGCCCAAAAAAAAATAATTTAAATTGCAAATTAAATGAAAAAAGGGTGTTTGTGTATGCACTACAAAAAAACGCATTAAGAAGTATTACCTCTAGCCAAGACCCTGCTTTTACTGGCTCCCAAGCTGCTAAACCTCCAGTTTTACTCTGTAAACATTGAGAAACAAATAAATAAATAAATAAAATAAAATTATATACAATCTCAATGTACGCATAAAAAATCTATACAAATATTATGTAAAAAAGTGCATTAAGAAGATTTTAACTTTTATCATTATTTATATTTTAGTGACAATTCAGTGAGCGGTTTTTAACATGACCCTTTCTTTTAAACCATTTACTAGAGCTGTATTAACAATTAAGAAAAATGGAGTGTTTGCGGGAATTACAATTTTAAATTACAGAAGCGTTTCCTGTAATGAAAGCATGACATTCACAGCATCATACAATCTTTCAGCCTCATGTTTTTCACCAACAATTTCGGGTGGCAATTGAGACAGCAACAGACAACACTGCAAAAGGGAAAGAACTCATTCATATTTACAGAACTTACTATCACAACATCAAATTGTACTTTAAAAAACAAAAAGAGCAAAAACAGAAGACAGAAAAAAAAATGTCACCTTAAACCCTTCTGCTGTGCAATCTGAGACTTGCCAACCATGATCTTGATCAGAGAAAGTCCAAGATCCTTTAGAAATGTGCCTGAACATCTTTTTAAAATCACCAGAAGGGTTGTCCTTCACCTTTGAAATTGAAGGATAAGAAGAGAAAGAAGCAGGAGAGAATGAATAATATTGATTGTTATTATAAATCATAATTTGAAAATAAACTCAAAAATATTTATAAAAAGAAAAGAAAAAATAACAAATTTGAGAAAAAAAAAAAAAAAAAAGAAGATAAACCTGTGATTTCTTTATGAAATCATAGCCTTTTCTAAGAACTTCCCCTGTTTCTTCAAGCATATTACAAGCCAATATTGCTTGAATTGAAAAACTTGTGTCCCATTGTTGACTGCCAAAACTCTGCAATAAAATAAAAAAATAAAACAAAACAAAAAGAAAGGATACATATCAGAAATAGCATGGTCCTCCATTAATTTTTATTTTATTTATTTATCTATTTATTTTTACAAATAACTAGTAGTACCTGCATTTTAATTCCATCTTCAGCAACCCAGATGTAATCTGGGATCCTAGCAAGATGCTTCTTATAATAATCACCATTAGGATCTTCCAGCCAACAACAAAGCATGCATAAAACCTTCTCGACACATCCAATGGTAATGTACCGACTAATTTCATCTTCATAGTGGATGTGCTCCATTGTCTTTGCAAGTGCTTTCCCTCTCAATTTGTTGAAGGGCCAATGCGTAAGCAACGGCTCTGTTGTTATGTACAGACTATCCGACATCAAATCCTGTATTAGAGGACGCTGGTGATACAAATCTTCCTGTAATGTAATGCCATGGCACCACCACCCAGTAATTTGTTACAAATTCATTAATTTCAACAATAAGTTTAAAAACACAGAAACTAAACACGGGATATAGTTATGGAAAGGATGGACATACCTTAGCACAAACATGCTTGTAAAAAATCAAATTGATCGGATATAAGAAAGCATGTGTTCGGAAAACTCGAACTAAAAACTATTTCTTTAAAGAATTTAATAAACAGTTTTCCGAACACATGCTTTTTGATATTCGATCAACTTGATTTTTTACAGATATGATATACTGAACAAATCTTAAAATATGAATGGTTCAAATTATCAAAACTAGACCTAAAAGTAACCCCAATGAAATTGCGAGTAAAAAATGCAAGGAGGGGGTCCTGATTCCTCTAATAGGTGTGTTTAGCATTTTTCTTTAATAAAAAAAAAGAGAAAGCGTAGGAATCAGAGACAGTGGGAAATGACTCTTTAAAATATAAAAATTCGCCTTTTCATCGTAATTTAAGGTACATATTGGCCTCATTTGACAATTTAACTTTTTGACTAAAAAAGTCAATAAAAAAAAATACTTATCAATTAATCTTATTAATTAAATTTATTTATTTGTAGATCTCAATTGATAAATGATATCTTCAAGGAAACGAACTGCGTTTTGGATGAAAACTTCAATCTCCATTTTGCGGTGTCTTGGATATAATTTCATGAATAACACAAAAGCCTGGATTGATGCTGCTGTGCATTCTACATACTCGTGTTCAATTACAATATCAGCAAAGGTCTCTGTAGGATTAAGAAGCCGCCCAAAAAAAAATAATTTAAATTGCAAATTAAATGAAAAAAGGGTGTTTGTGTATGCACTACAAAAAAACGCATTAAGAAGTATTACCTCTAGCCAAGACCCTGCTTTTACTGGCTCCCAAGTGGGAATTTGTATCAATTCTATTTTATTTTTTTTGACAAAGAAGCTTAAAATTTTGAAAATTACTAAAATCTAACCCCAGGCGAGATCATAAGTAACCTTAGAGATACTTAGGCCTTGAGAATAAATTATTTTAATAATTTTTTAAGAAAAAATTAATAAAAAATTAAAGAGAGCGATGTCATAATTATAATAACGAGAAGTTAATTTGATAATATGTGAGAGAGAGAGAGAGAACCTGAAGGCGGAGAAGAACATCACCACTAGGCTTGACACGAGAGCAGTTGAGAGTGAACGAATCATGAGCCTTTTCAACCTCGGCTCGTTCTTCAGGCGTACTGTAATTTGGATCAAACTCCCATATTTGTCGCCCCACAAAGTTGTTTGTGCTGTATTGGTATGGCTCATATGGACCCGCTCCTTCTGCTACCTTCAACCTCCACATTCTCCTACCAACAACCTAGTATATATATTTTTTTACCATTTTTATCACTTACATCATTAATTCTATCAAAACTTTAAATGAAAATTATATTTTTCATATGTGGAATGAATAGAAGAAATTTATCACATAGAAAGAATAGATTGAGTGCAAGAAATGAGTTTTGAACTCAATACCTCTTACAATTAACATTGTTCAAAAAAATTTAATTTATTAAGAAATGTGTTTAAAAAAAAAATGACCCATGTATACTAAAGAAAAGAAAATCTGATAGATTTATAAGTAACCAATACCCAATAAGATCTCTCTCACAAAAGCTTCATTCAATAGCATATCTTTCCTCTACATATGGTAAAAGTAAGTAGCTATTAAGAGATCATCTAACAAAACTTCAAATATACAAACATTTATTCCTTCCCTCCACTTGGTTGTTTGAATTGAATGGTAGTGGCTTTGTCATGATTATCACCACTTCTTTAACTACTAATAAATTTCACAAACATGTTTTATTATCATTCAAGTGGATCTTGCTTCATTTTTTTTTTTTTAAAAATTATTATTACATAATACATCAGTTAATAAAAAATTTATTAAATTTATATAATTTTTTCATTTTTGTAGTCAAAAAATAGCTTCAATAACTGAAGTATTTTCATTTAAAATGCCAAACCAAAAGAAAAAAAGGAAAAGCCCAACCAATCTTTGGGAGAGAGAGAAAGAGTTGGATTACCAGTTGTAGTTAGGCATTTGTGTCTGTTGAAAAAGTTAGTTATTAGTTACTTTGTGGTTCAGGCAAGCACTGAGAGAGAGAGAGGAGGTGGTGGTAGAGAAATTGTGGTTGGCCAAAACACAAGTGTGCCTATTGAAGAGAAAAGAAGAGAAACACTCATTTATTTATAGGGAGGAAAAAATCTAGTATTAGAGCATCCACAATGGATATGTTAGTGAGTGTATTAGTGTCGGTGGTCAAAATTTTGGAGAGACACAGTAATTTTTTAGTTCACAGTAGAAGTGTTAAGGAGTATATTAGTGGAGTGTGTTAGTGTGAGCTGTTAACTTCTTTGTTAACTGTGGCTAGCGTTTTAGCCAGCGAAAGAGAGAGGAGGAATGTAGGAAAGAGAGAGAGAGTTGTGTGTCTGGGAAAGTCCTCCCGGACGTCCCGTCGAAAGTCCACCCCAGACGTCCGGACCCTTCAAGAAAAAGGAAAAAAAAAAAAAATTTAGGTTTGAGCGGTTGACTGGTGGGACATCTGGTGGTAAACTGCTTTTTTTTTAACTTGTTGGGATTTTTTTTTGGGACTTGAAATTTAATTTTGGGCTTGAAATTTTTGATTAAATTAAATTATTCATTTATTTTATTTATTATGTATACACATATATATATTCTTAACACACCTCCTAACACATCCATTCACTACAAGAAAAAACACTTTCCGTGACCAACATTTTGGTCGCGAAAAGTACCATATTTGGTCGCTAAAACCTTTTCGCGACCAAACTATGTTGGTCGCGAATTGGTCGCTAAAGCCTCGTCACAGATAGTTTTTTGCGACCAAAAAAGCCTTTGGTCACTAAAAGTGACCATTCGCGACTAACTTTTTTGGTTGCGGAAAGTCCAATTCATATTAGCCAAAAGTAAACTTTTAGCGACCAAAGATAAGTTGGTCGCCAAAAGTCAGCGCCTTGACCCAAAAAAAAAAATTTCTTTTGTGCTGCCTGGGACTTGAACTCCTGACCAAGGAGTCACCATGCACCCAATCCACTTTGCCAATAACATGCTTCTTGTTCATATTTGGCAAAAAATATATATAACTCATAAAAATTGGGTTACATATTATTTTATAAAACTTTTAATACCTAAACAGAAAAATAGCATGTAATTACAGTAGTATCATTTTTTTAAAATTTATCCCGCCATAACTTTCCGCGACCAACTTTTTTTTTGGTCGCCAAAAGGTAATCTTCCGCGACCAAAAAAGCCTTTGGTCACCAATAGTATACTTTCCGCGACCAACTTTTTTTTTGGTCGCCAAAAGGTGATCTTCTGCGACCAAGAAAGCCTTTGGTCACCAATAGTATACTTTCCACGACCAACTTTTTTTTTTGGTCGCCAAAGGGTAATCTTCTGCGACCAAAAAAGCCTTTGGTCGCCAATAGTATACTTTCCGCGACCAACTTTTTTTTTTGGTCGCCAAAGGGTATACTTTCTGTGACCAACGTTTTTTTTGGTTGCCAAAAGGTGATCTTTCGCGACCAAAAAAGCCTTTGGTCACCAATAGGTATACTTTTCGCTACCAATTTTTTTTTTGTTCGCCAAAAGGTGATTTTCCGGGACTAAAAAATTGTGGTCGCCAAAAGTTAAATTTTGGTCGCAGAAAGTGAACTATTTGCGACCAAAAAAAATAGGTAGTCGCCAAAAGTGTTTTTTCTTGTAGTGATTACACCATCACTTATTTTTTAAAATTAACAAACTCTTAACACATATTTTTGGGTCTTACTTTTATCATTTTTTATTATATAATACACATCTTAATATATTTTTTTAACCATCCCATTATGAATGCTCTTATATTCTACATTTTGGGAGGGTTTTGTTGAAGTGACCCCATTTGTATAAATAAAAAAAAATAAAAAATAAAACTCTTTATATTCCACGTGTTGGGGTTTCTTTGACGTAAGCTTCCCACGTGGTTAAATTAACAACGCCCAAAGGATAAGAATAGAAAGGTTCATTTAGATTTTTTTTTTTTTGAAAAATAAATTAAAAGTTAATTTTTTTAAAAAAAATGTATAAAAAAATAATATAACTCAAAAAAGTTAAAAAAATTAAAAAATTAATTTTTAGTTAAGTTTTCAAGACAGGCCTAAAGTTAAAATCTTGAAGGTCCACTAAGATTAAAATTTATTTTATTTTATGTTTTTTTAATCTAATGATTAGGTGAACTTGTGTGTATTTCGATTAATTCTAAAATCATAAAATTAATGATCAGGTAAATATCAAATGGTCCCAACGTGTGACTCAAAATCAAAATTTTAAATTTTATTCTCAAATTTTTACAGCTCGACAAATCCTTTGAAATTTTGCATAATTTGTATGTAATTTTAATTTTGTATATGCATGAAAAAATCTAAAACTCTCGAAATATTAATTCGTGATTATGTTTCAATTTTAAACAGTGAATATCAATCACAATCAACCGATCAACAACAAATCGGTACAACGATTTAACATAAAACAAATCACAATTGGAACAGCTTCAATTATGATAAAAAATCACGGGCCAAAGTCATAAAACAATTCAATAAGAAGACAAAAAATGAATTACACATGAATACCCTCAATTACATAGCAAATTCATGCGTGAATTGAACTAAACCCAATGTGCCTCTTTTACCACTGTCTTCACCTCAGAATTGCTTTACCCAACGTTGAATTCACAACGCCGATGTCGAATCCACGACGATGAGCCACTTCGGAATCCACCAAAACTTTAGGCCCAAGTTCTGTTGGACAAAAATGGTTTTATGGTGACTTTAATATGAAATTAAAGTAGATCTCAATCATCGGTTGAGGTGGGATCAAATGGGTTTAGATTCTTTGTAACAAGATCTTTACACTATAAAAAGAATGA